GATAGCTCTCGCATTTCTAGTGTTTTAGTAGAAAATTTGTTCTTATCTTTGGGGTTTCTTCAATTTGCAGAAGGCGTCATAAATCCGATTGTTTATGTGCTATTTGTGTTCTAAAGCGCCGTAGAAGGGAGCGCGAGGAGAATGCTCGAATTGCAAAGAGCCAGCATGGAGCTAGTGATAATAACCTTACTCATGAGTTAAAGCAAGAGGTAAATTGGAAGTTTTATCCAATGATTCTATTGGTCCATTTGGAAAATGATTATTAAAGTAGGTTTTCACTTTGAATTCCTGCAATCAGATGCATTGCTCAGCAAATTATTAACTAAATTATAAAAACATAAAGACGATGAGAGAAATTTTAGGAGATTGCATGAACTAGTAAAATCTTTTGCTAATTCACCGTGAGCTCTTTGTATAACATTTGAAATTTAAAATGCAATTTTCTTTTAGAGTTAATACTGAGGTCTTATGTGAAAAAGACTGCCTTAAACAGTGGCTTTTACTTGTGAAAAAGGCCTTTAACTGTTAAATTTGCATGTTTGGTTAACCTAGTTATTATTACTATTGTTATTTTTGTTGCTGTTACTGTTCTTATTGTTACTCGGGAATCTTCTTTTGATGAATAAAAGTGTTCTCTCTTAAGGAAGCTTCACTTGGGGAAAGCCCATCTGGTGAGAATTCCTCTTCCGATATGGATGGATCTTTGGACCCCAATCCTGATGCTGAGGTAGAAGATAAAGGAGAAGAGGTGAAAATGGGGGTATCCAAACAGCAGTATGGCCCTTCAGGGGAGAAGCACGAGGAAGAGGATGATGTTGATGAGGGGGATGAGGAGGAAGACAGTGACACAGAGATGAAAGATGAAGGTAATGGTGAAGCACTAGAGAAGTTTGACAAATCCAGAGAGGAGCCTAATAGACAATCACAACCAATAACAGCGGAGAAGGTTGCTGCCGGAGACCAAACTAATAGAAATGAAGAGAATGTGGTGATGCAGCATGAGGAAGAAACTGTAGCAGATAAACCTAAGGTATAACATCTTTGGCATCAACCATGTGTTTTTTTTTTTTTTTTTTGAAGGGGGGGGGG